ACCTAAAAAAAGAATAAAGGAAACATTAGTAAGAGTTTCCTAATAAAAAAAATTAAGTTTCGTAATGAAACATTACGAAACTTACCCAATCATTCTTCTGTTCCAAACTTTCCGATCCTAAAAAAAGGATAAAGGAAACATTTAGTAAACGTTTCCTAATAAAAAATTAAAAAAATTAAAATTTCGAGGGAAACCCTTCGAAACTTACAATATCCAAGATCCAAAGTTTGAACACGCCGAAAGTCCTACACAAAGAAAATATAGGAAACGTTAAAAACGTTTCCTTATAAAAGAAATTTAAAAAAAAAAAATTTTTTAAAAAATTTTGAAGCAAAATGCTTCGAAACTTACCCTTTTTCCTGCTTCCCAAAAAAAAGACCCACAAAAAGAATTTAAAGAAACGTTAGTAAACGTTTCTAAAAAAAAAATTAAAAAATAAATGAAGTTTCACAACATTTCGTTGCGAAACTTACCATAACATTAAAGTTCTTCGAAATCCCGTTTAGAAAAAGAAATCTGCGGACCTAAAAAAGAAAGAAAAACGAAACATTAGTCACGTTTCGTTAAAATAAATTAAAAAAAAATAATTTTACCTGTCCGTGAATCATCCAGGAAGCGGTCCTAAAAAAATAAAAAAATGAAACGTTAGATACGTTTCGTTAAAAATAAAAAATTAAAAATTTTGAAGGTAAACCTTCAAAATTCCCTTCCGTGAACCATCCAGAAAGCCGCAGTCCTAAAAAAAACAAAAAATCGAAACGTTAGACACGTTTCATTAAAGACAAACAATTAAAAAAATTTTAAAGGTTTACCTTCAAAATTCCCGTCCGTGAGCCATCCAGAAAGCCGCGGTCCTAAAAAAAAATAAAAAATTGAAACGTTAGGTACATTTCATTAAAAAACAAAAAATTAAAAAAAAAAATTTTAGAAACGTTTTTTAACGTTTCGTTAAAAAATGAAAAAATCGGAACGTTAGCCAACGTTCTGATTAAAAGGAATGAAAAAAAAAGTTATTAACGAAATGTTAAAAACGTTTCATTAAAACAAGAAAAAAAATGTAAATTGGAACGTTAGCCAATGTTCCGATTAAAAAAATGAAAAAAAAGTTATTAACAAAACGTTAAAAACGTTTCGTTAAAAAAAGAATAAAAAATAAAAAAATCGGAACGTTAGCCAACGTTCCGATTAAAAAAAAGAAAAAAAAAGTTATTTACGAAACATTTTTCAACGTTTCGTTAAAAAATGTAATAAAAAAAATAATCGGAATGTTAGCCAACGTTCCGATTAAAGAAATTAAAAAAAAAGATTAAATGAAACGTTTTTCAACGTTTCGTTAAAAAAAGGAAATAAAAAAATAATCGGAACGTTAGCCAACGTTCCGATTAAAGAAATTAAAAAAAAAGATTAAATGAAACGTTTTTCAACGTTTCGTTAAAAAAAGGAAATAAAAAAATAATTGGAACGTTAGTCAACATTCCGATTAAATAAAATGAAAAAAAAAGTTATTTACGAAACGTTTTTTAACGTTTCGTTAAAAAAATGTAGTAAAAAAAATAATTGGAACGTTAGCCAATGTTCCGATTAAAGAAAAGAAAAAAAAGTTATTTACGAAATGTTTTTCAACGTTTCGTTAAAAAAATGTAATAAAAAAAATAATTGGAACGTTAACCAACGTTCCGATTAAAAAATTAAAAAAAAAAATATTATTTCAGAACGTTTTTCAACGTTCCGAATAAAAAATGAAATAAAAAAATTAATCGGAACGTTAGCCAACGTTCCGATTAAAGAATTAAAAAAAAAATATTATTTCGAAATGTTTTTCAACGTTCCGAATAAAAAATGAAAATAAAAAAATTAATTGGAACGTTAGCCAACGTTCCGATTAAAGAATTAAAAAAAAAAATATTATTTCGGAACGTTTTTCAACGTTCTGAATAAAAAATGAAAATAAAAAAATTAATCAGAACATTAGCCAACGTTCCGATTAAAGAAATTAAAAAAAAATAATAAATCGGAATGTTAGCCAACATTCCGATTTAAAAAATTAATAAAAAAAATAATAAATCGGAACGTTAGCCAACGTTCCGATTAAAAAAAAAAAGAATAATATTTTCGAAACGTTAAAAAATGTTTCGTTAAAGAATGAAAAAGTAGTTTCGCAGTTTCGTTGCGAAACTTACCAAAAGTTCATTTTTCCGTATAAGGCTCATATTTCAGGAATTAATGACCTTATATTACGGAGTTAACATAGTTTTTGGATAAAACTTTTTATAGGGATGAAGGGGAGAACGAAAGGGTTATGGGAAAACGAAAGGGAAGGGGAGAACGAAGGGGAGAACGAAAGTGTAATGGAAAGAGAGAAGGTTATGGGAAAACGAATGGGAAGGGGATAACGAAAGGGTAATGAAAAAATGAAAGGGAAGGGGGAGAACGAAGCAAAAAAAAAAAAATTAAGCTTTGCCAAAAAAAGCTTGATTTTTTTTTTTGCTATACCGCAGCTGCAGCACTGCCGCAGCGGTAATTATTACTCTAGTATCACGTGATAGATATAGAGTACATTACGCAATTGCCGAAATAATTTTTTTTTTAAATATTAAGTTTAATATATATAAATATATACTTGAATTAAATAGTGCAGTGGTTAAGATCGTGAAATAAATAATAGTGTAAGTTGAGGTGTTTGGTTCGGTTCCTAAGGTAAGTAAAAATAAATATAATTTTGATTTAATTTAAAATATATATAATATATGTTAATATATGGCGTTGAACAACAATGCATAATGTGTTGAACTACACATTAGAGTTGAATGACGTGTATATTAACATTAAGCGTTGATATACTCCAGTATACGAGTGTTGATTAATATTGTAAAACGCATTGAACAACTAGCTGGTGTTGATCAACGCGTATATTGGAGTGAATCAACACTTTTCAAACTTGCTGATGTTACTTTTTGAAATTCAAGCCGTCCAAGTCGTTCCGAAGTCCAAGTCCAAGTCCGTCCTAAAGAAAAAAAGGTGTTTTTTTTAAAAAAAAAAACATTTATGTTAAAAAAAAAAAAGGTTTGAATTTGACCAGATTATCTGATCAATCCGGTCAATCTGGTCATCTGTGTAACATCCAATCAATCTGATGTTATCCAACAGATCCATCCGGATTATCCGCAATCCGTTCATTCTTAATCCAGATGATTCGTTTTTTGATCGGATCGGATGATGGATTGAACAGATTTCACCGGAGCACATCTCTAATGCCACTCAAATTATTTTGAGCTGCCATAATTATAAGTAGAATTCTAAATTCAATTATGACATCCCAAATTATTTTGGTACTTTACATTAGAGTTCTGAATGGGTCAAGTCAGGTCAGGTTAATTGATAAACCTGACCTGAAATTTTTTTTCAGGTCAGGTCAGGTCAGATTATATCAGATTATCTGTTTAACCTAACCTGAACTGAAACCTGAAAATTTTCAGGATTTTTATTAAAATATCAAAAAAAATGGTACAAACCATTCTTTTTTGAAATATTGCGATTCATTTTTTTATATTAAAATCATATAAAAAGGTGAATCACAATACCGCAACTAACTTTTTTTTATATAAAATCAATGAATTCTGATACCGCGATTCACTTTTTTTATATAAAATCAACATAAAAAAGTGAATTCTGATACTGTTTTTATATAAAATCAATATAAAAAAGTGAATTCCAATACCGCGATTCACTTTTTTTATATAAAATCAATATATAAAAGTGAATTCTGATACCGCAATTCACTTTTTGTATATAAAATCAATATATAAAAGTGAATTCCGATACCGCAATTCACTTTTTATATATAAAATCAATATATAAAAGTGAATTCCGATACCGCAATTCACTTTTTATATATAAAATCAATATATAAAAGTGAATTCCAATACCGCAATTCACTTTTTATATATAAAATCAATATATAAAAGTGAATTCCAATACCGCAATTCACTTTTTATTATATATAGAATTAATATAAGAAAGTAAATTCTGATATCACAACTCACTTTTATTATATAAAATCAATATAAAAAAGTGAATTCCAATATCACAACTCACTTTTATTATATAAAATCAATATAAAAAGTGAATTATAATACCATAACTTACTTATACTATATAAAATCATAGTTTCAGGTCAACAGGTCATTCAGGTTATATTGATGTTACAACCTGAACTGATGCTGAATTGCAATTGCTAAACCTGAACTGATAAATTCAGATCAACCTGTCAGGTTACCTGAATTTGGTCAACCTATTCGGAACTCTACTTTACATAGTAAATTATATATAAACTGAATGAATTACAACATCCCAAATTATAATTATGGCATCCTAAAATAATTTGGGCAGCATGTATAGATTGCTGGAAAAAATATCTATACCCTGTTTTATTGATATGATTATGTTTTTCATGATACTTGGCCAGAAGCATTTACGCATAATGCATATAATAAGTTTTTTATTACTATATTCTCCAACTGCTTCTTTTCCAATTTCGCAACTTTTTCTATAAGTTTAGCATTCCTTGCCTCGAGTCTCAATGATCTTTTACCCATCACCTTTTTTTTAAATGAGAAATTATATTCAATTGTATTAAGGCAGGCTCAAATTCCATTTTAAATAACATGAAAAAAAATAATGCAAGATTCACATATCATATAGCCCTTAAGCCCCCTATTCACTAGTCAGTTTCATATGACTATTGATTAGACTATTGTATTCCCAAATCTAAAAATAAAAGTATCTTAAACTACAATTATATGATATAATATATAATGATATGCATTTCTCTGTTAATTTAAAAAAATCAATCACTTCCTTCTCACTTCTTTAACATTAACCTTAATCATATATTTCAGTATCTTATAAGCCAATTAGTCAAGTAAAATTAAATTTATTCAACTTGGCTTAACATAAAAATTTATAAGCTAACTCTAATATAATATTTTTAATTAAACAATATGAATGGTAAGATCTAGGGAATGTATAAAGTTTATTTAATTTGTTAATAACAATATTCTATCATTTCAGATATACAATTAGAGAAAGGTTCTGCAACTAATGCAAATAAAAATGTAAAAAGTTCTGAAAAAACACCTGTTCCAATTGGACTATCAGATGATTCAACTGGATCAGATTTATCAGATGATTTACAAAGAACTCTTGATAATTTGACTAAATTTTCGCATGTATTTTACAATAATCTTAATAATAATGAAGACAAAGTAGCTTATTTAAAATCAATCTGAGAACAAAATTTGAGAGCTTGTAGGAAAGGAATATGATTTGTTTTATTTTTCTATAATTTGCTTTTATTTATATTCATCACAGAGATTTTTTACTTAAATAACCCATATATGCCGATTTTTGGAATTAGTCTAAATTAAGATTTTTATAAAAATTTAATATTTTAGTAAGATTAACATTACACAAATCTAAATTAAATATGTGTTACATATTTACGTAATTCAGATTTAATAAAAAATAAAAAAAAATTTTTTAATCAATATTCAAAAATAATGGTAATAACCACTTCTTTTTCCCCATCACTGCCCATCACTTTTCCATCATTTTTCTATTCACTTTTATTAAATATGACAAAAAAGTTTATAAGCAAATATAGCAGTTATTTTTAAGTGGTAAGTAAAAGAAAAAACTTAATATTTTATATACATAGATAAGATATATTTTTTCATAATTTTTAGCTTTAATTTATTGTTTTTTCTTTGTAAAAAATACATGCAAATAAAAAATAATTATGATGTAAAATAGTTGTAAAATGAATAATAAGATATTCTTTTTTTTTCAAAATAACTAATTATATATTTGTTTTTTATCTTTTAAAATTATTTTATTAGATTTATTCTACTAAAATCCTTAAATGGCAAATAAAATCTTTTAAATAAAGTAAAAGAATTTGGGATTCTCTTATGAAAGCATTTTTTGGTAAGAAATAAAATTTTCAGATCGGACTTTATGCAGGTGACAAAATCGTGCATTATTATTCCTGGAGATATGCTAACGTCATCATTTTACATTCATTTGAAAGCTGAGAATTTGCTCTATCGTAAGAATCAAAGATCAGGAAAATTGGATCACTGGATGAGGCGTAATTAACGATCAAAGTCAAATCAAATTTAAAAATTAAAAATAAATATATTAGACGTAATTATTCACAATCCAGTGATTCAATTCATTCGATTTTAGGCTTATTAGATAGACCTCAATTTTCTCTTTCAAATGAATATAATTTCATTCGTGTAGCTTGCATCTACAGGTATTTAATAAATTTTTTTATATCAGATTTTATCAAACTTATAAAATTTTATATTAATAATATAATTGATGATTCCTAAACATCTACATATATTAAACGAATTATTTTAAATTTATTTTAAAGATAAAAGTTGGCATCACCTTAGGGAGCAAAGATCATTCAAATTGAATCACTACATGTGAAGTAATTAATGATCAAATTTAGATAAAATTCAATAAATATACTGAACGTGATTACTGAACAACTAGTGATTCAATTCACTTGATTTTAGATTCATTAGATAGATCTCGATTTTCTCTTTCAAATGAATGTAAATTTATTTGTATAGCTTATTTCTACGAAGAATTATCAATGATTTTGTCATGAGAGTTATATTTGATCTTTTAAATTTTAATGATATCTTATATTAAAAAAAAATTAAAAATTATATAATTAATTAGTTTTTTTTGCATTATCTGGTATAAATTTATTATTCTTATATAAATGATAATTTATATTTGCTTTAATAAAATTATTTTTGTGTAAAAAAATAGATTCCAAGAATCGGCCCATATGCTATAGATTTTATATATTCTCAATTTTTTATATCTTATTTAATAGAGTATTGTCATAAAACTACTTAGAAATACAGTCATCTTTGCCATTGTTATTGGTATGTTTGTGGGTAACGTAAAATCAAAGAATGAAATATATCAAGCAATTTCATATTTCATCATTTATTTCTCACAATATATTTCTATTATTCTGGATTTGTATTGGAATTTGGGTATCAATAAAAAATTTTTTCGTTTTGCAAGTTATACATCAGCATCAGAAAGTTATTTTCTCTTGATTACAGTTGTAGTAATAATGGTCAGAAAATATAAAGTAATCTCAAGTTTAAACTTTCTCAATCTCAGAATATTATTCTCTGACTGGATCTTAAAATGCTTAATGGATCATATAAATCAATGATATATGATAGTATAAATTTATTCTTAATTACCATACATGTATAAAATATATACAGTACATAGCTATACAAGTTTTTGTAATGCATCTAAATCAAATTATTTTCACACTATTTGCTATTTTATCAATTGTCACTGTAAGAAATGTTTTTACTGATATAATAATAATCTGAGTTTATATACATGCAAATCGATTTATAGTCAGAATACATGCTGATGGCTCATATTCAATGAGAACATAGTTTTTTAACATATTTTTGAACAGATGGCTAATTTAACCATCTGTATCAACCTAGGTTACTGAAATTTGCGATTTTTCTTAGCTTTTCTTTATGCGTGATCCTGCTCTAGTTTTAAAATTCTAGCTTCAAGCTTGGTGAGCCTAGCTTTCTTATCAGTTTTCTTAGTCTTAAGCTCAGTGATAAATACTTCAAACTCAGATGTTATAATAGATAATATTTTCATATACGAAAGAATTATTTAATATTATGTGCAAATGTAAAATCACTTTATTAATACATGCAAAAAATAAATACAAATGTTCAGAACTATACCTGTGATACATAATATCTAGGCTAGTGACTATATAATTATTTTTTTGAATGATATCCTTCTATTCTAGCCCTCTTCCTATCAGGTTTTTCATCCACGCACTTTAGCCTATCCTTTAACAATCTAACGATGACCTTCATAACCCGCTTCACATTTTTATACAAATTCTTTTTTTCCTCTGATCCTTCCTTCAAAGTAAATTCTGAAACTCGAATATTGAGGGGATTCTTGCTTGTGCTTGATATCCCATCTGAGGTAAAAAGAATAAAATATCATTCTAAGGCTATTGTAATGATCTCGTAAATATAGTCAAAATCTTTTCTAAATACTTCGCTTGATTTATGTTTTCTATTCTTTTTATTAAATTGGAGAGCATTTTTACTGAACTAGATTCTAAGTGAAACCTATAACCATTTGATGTACCTTTCCTTCCATGATGCAAAGAAGTTTCTCAATGACTTTGATTGTGTAGCCAACCTGACTAGTACTTTCTTCTCCAACAATTTCAAGTTAAGGAATTAAAGTAAGCTTTTTATCTGTTATTTTTTTGATGATATAGAGTGAAGCATAAAGAATGACTGAGATATACTTGCAACAGGATCCTGCTTACTTATAATAAAGGTCACCGTAAAAAATTAGCCCTTTACTAATAGTTTTTATCTTACTTTTTTCTTAAATTCTATTGGTTAATCATATAGGCTGATTTGTCTATCTTTAATTAAAATATTAATTTTATTACATTTTTATTACACAAAATACTATATAATATACAGTAAATTGGGAATGAGTATTAAAAAATTTTTATTTAATGTTATTATACTATAATTTGGTGAATATTTCTTTTAAATTAATATAATTCTTGGCACTTACTATATATGTTAAAAATTTATATCTCAACTTAAAACGTAAATATCTCCAGATCCAGTAATCCAATCGGCAAGCTCTTTTTTTGTTCATATAGACCAGATTAAGGGCTTTCCAAAGAGCCTAAATTTATACAAAATAGATCAGTGGATCCCAAGATATTTGCATTTAAGCATGCTAAAAGGTTCGTACCTCAACTTTAAACGTAAATATCTCCAGATCTAATGATTCAATTGGCGAGCTCTTTTTTCGCCTATAAAGTCCAGAATAAGGGCTTTCCAACGAGCCTAAAATTATAGAAAACGGATCAGTGAATCTTGATATATTTACGTTTAAAGATGGTAATACAAACTCCAACATAAAATAATTGTTTTTATTGTTTGAAAATATCTATTATGATACCATCTTTTATATGATATTTTTATTATACTTTTATAAACATTTATAGCTACTAAGGCTATATAAATTTTTATTTTACTTTATTTTTTATTAAAATATACTTACTTTTTAATAATATATGTTAAAAATTCCATATATATGAGAAATGGGTTTTTTATTAGTGAAATGGGTTTTTTCACAGCTCTTTTACATTTAATAATTTAAGTTTCAACTTATTATTTAGTCAAGTGATCATCAATCAGATGATTTTTTGGTATTACAAAACAATTTTGAGTAACAAAAATTGTGAAAATCAATCAATAACTCTTTTTAATGCAGAGTAAACAAATCAGCCCATATGTTAGCTAAAAAGGAAAAAAATTATAACAATGTAATATAAAATTTTTTTTTATAGTAGAATCTGCAAAGAATTTTATATATGATTTTTACCTTAGATTTAGGGGTGACCTATCTTATAAGTAAGTGGGGTCTTCTCGCAACGCATGACTTTATTACTATTCGCAAGCATAGTTTCCATATTTTCCAACTTATGCTTTACTTTCTTTATACACTGAACCAATTCTTCATCATCATTTTTGAATTTGTAGGTCACTAAAAGGTTGTATGAAATTAGTGATTTGCATATAAATTATAAGACTATGTGGTGCTTAATAAACTTACCAGCAGAAATTAATAAATAGTACTTATACCGTTGCCATTAATACCGTATTTCGTTAACATCTCCTTCAAATTCTTATACGAGAAAAACACATGCTTCAGCTTTTCTTTAAAGGTCTGGACCTCTTTTGCAAGTCTCATAGCTGATCCCATTTTCAACCTACATCTCTTAAACCTTTCTTCTGTCATATCAAGTAAGTTTTGATCAGTGATTTTTTTCCTATGAAGTCATCATCATTGAACTTAAGGTTCTGCTCTTTCAAAAAATTGATAAGGGTTTCTGTATCCAGTTCTCAACTAAGTATAAAGGGGCATGCCAGAAATCAGCTGATTTGAAAGGAGGTAGAAGGAGTCAAGCTTCAGATCAAGTTTATATATATCATGTGACATTTATATATTTAAAAGTATTATTTTTATATAATTATTATAATGCAATTATCTTGACTTCTAGTGATCCAATTTTAATAAACTTTTTTTAATTTATAGCTCTCATTTAGCTCTACAAATCTAGCTTTACAAAACAAAAAAAAATTTGTTCAAATTAAATTAC